GGTTTGGAAAAAGAATTCTTGATTTGGCTAAGGTGTGGGGGATTCTCATTGTCATTGTGGTATTGTTAGGTTTGAAGGGTTTGGTCATGTGATATGCCTAGAGTTAATTAGAAAAATTTCCTCTTTTATTTTATTTTTTTTCTTTTTATATTTGGATTTAATTTGGTAGAATTCTATAATTTCTAGATATGGAGCTAACTTTGGTATAGCTATTTTCTATTTTTATCCATTAATTTTTTGAAAATTATTTCTTGTTCCAAAATTACATTTTCATTACATTAGATGATTGACATGTGAACAACTGTGACATTATTATAGACCAATGTAACGAAACATGAACTAGAAAATAATTTTGGAATTGAAAATCTCATCCCCTAAAATTTTTTAGGGTGCCAATTTGGTATAATACCTTTTTTTATTTTCTGAATCAATTTTATCCAATAATTTTCATTCTTTTTTCATATTTATTTGAAATATAACTTGTTAGAATTCTGTAATTGCTATACATGGAGATAATAACTACAAATAAATGCAGTTTTCGTATGCCTGTAATTTTTCATTTATTTTTATCAGAATTTGATACAATATCTTTTTATTTTTTTTATCAATTATATCTAATAATTTTCCTTTTTGCAATCTGATTTGGTAGAATTTTGTAACTGCTGATGAGCTACCAATCACTGCAACTAATTGCATGAGGCAGTGGAAGTGGATGGTCACGGTTACTGTAATCACTCATATATNAAAAACGTGAACATAAGTCCATAACACGTAAGACGTAACCATGAATTAAATGTAAAATCTACAAATTTCACAATATAAAAAAATGATATATATATATATATCAATAAAATAAAATATTATTATGGTATAATAATTTAATATTTAACATTAATGTGCATGCAGACACTAGGAATTTCCAACTCCAACAACGTGGCCATTACCGGACTCACATCCATCAACAGCCAGTTATTCCACATCGTCATCAACGGCTGCCGTGACGTCAGGCTTCGAAATGTGACCATTTCGGCTCCCGGAGACAGCCCCAACACCGACGGAATACACGTCCAACGCTCGTCTGACGTGGCCATCACCGACTCCAAAATCGGGACCGGCGACGACTGCGTGTCGGTCGGGCCCGGCACCGCCGACCTTTGGATTGAGAACGTGTCATGCGGGCCCGGCCACGGCATAAGGTAAATGAATGAAAAGTTTTTGATTTTCGGTAGTGTTGTAATCAAACCGAACGAGCTGAGCTTCGACATTTCGAGCTCGTGTTCGTTTACGGTCGAGCACTGTCTGTTCGTGTTCATTTGTTTATTTTTTCCGCAAAAAATCGCTCGTTTAATTTATTTTTTTTTGGTTAAAGTTTGAATTCGCTTGCTTTCGAATAATTCAGGAATGAAAACGAACTTTTTTAATAGGTTTGATTAACTCGAAATCTGGTTCGTTTGGTTTCGAAAATTAAAAAAAAGGATGTAACAAAAATATTTTTATATTTTAGATTCTTTTATTAAAAATGTAGAATAAATTTGTATTAAACTAGTGTTGGTGAATCATTATAAGAACGAGCACTTGTTCGTTCGATTATTAAACGAGTTTAATTTTCTGTTCGAACTCGCATTTTCTGTTTGGAACTCAGCTCGGCTAACAAACGACGAGCTAATTTTCTTCGAGAACGTTCGGTTCGTCGGCATTTTCAATTTTTACAAATTGAGAGTAAATTGGTATATGAAATGTTGTAGCATTGGGAGCTTGGGCAAGGATTACGACGAGTTGGGCGTGCATAACGTGACGGTTCAGAGCGTATCATTCGACAACACGCGAAACGGCGTGAGGATAAAGACGTGGGCAAGGCCGAGCAAAGGGTTTGTGAGCGGCGTCGTTTTCCGGCACGCCGTCATGTGTAATGTGGAAAACCCGATTGTGATCGACCAAAACTACTGCCCGCACGAAAAAGATTGTCCCGGACAGGTGCACATTTTTGTCCTGCCAGACTGCAAATGAGTCGAGTCGAGTCGACTCAGAGTCATGTCGACTGAAGATTTTTGCATTTATTTTGATATACTTTTATTTTCCCAATAGGTATCGGGAGTTGAAATCAGCGACGTGACGTATCAAGACATCCAAGGCACGTCGGCAACACAAGTGGCCGTGAAATTTGACTGCAGTAACGAGTGCCCGTGTAAAGGAATAAAGATGGAGAAAGTGAGGCTAAGCTACCAAAACCAGCAGTCTCGTGCTCAGTGTGTCAATGCAGCTGGCTCGGTTTATGGCTCGGTCGAGCCCTCGAGCTGTCTGAATTGAGTGAACTTTTTATTAACCGATGTGGGATAGCTATAGGTTTAGTTTGTCCGATCTGAGCCTGTGGTGGTGCCGGCGTGTTCTCCGGCTCGCCTGGCCGTTGCAAATACTATAAATGGCCTTTAGCATTTAATTGAGAAAAAATAATTACATAGCTTTTGTCAAGGATTTATAAAGATATATAATATAATTTATCAAAATTGATCTTGATTGTCAACTGGTCTTGTTTGGTTTGTTACATATTTTGAAATTTTGCTCGATTTTCATTAGTTGGTCGTGGGAGTTATTGGCCAGATTCGCTAAATTTGGTGACATATTTTGTACATTTGCATCTAATTAGAACAATTTGTTTTACACGAGACTGAACAATTTCATTTTTACACGCATTCCTTGGAATATCACCTACATCGGAGCTGTAAAGTTGTTTCAAGAAAACGAAATTTGGTTGAAATTAAAGAGCCTTAGATCATAAAAATGATACTTATAATGTCTAAACAAAATGTGTGGTTGATTGAGAAAATTACATCATTTACCTTTAAAATACTCTCATTTTATTTTCATACTGACAAACGTTTATTTTAATTACAAATATACTAACTTTTATAATTTATGTCGATTTTTCGTTTATTTTTGTCATTGATTTTAAACTGCATTAATTTTTTTTGTTTATATCAAGTTTATATGTGGCTTACGTATGATTTTATTTTTAATGTCGTATTTTTGTAAAAAAAAAAAAAAATTAAATATGTAAAATAGCCTGTGTCTTATGCTGTCATTTGTATAGACACTATTATATATTTGATGTTTTTAATTTTTTTATTAAAAAATAGAAACATACAAAAATTAAAACTAGCATTTTACATAACTGAAAATAGCATTCTCACATTTCTTATATTGAGATTTGGTTTTTATTTGAATCACTTTACTACACTCGCAGTGTAGTAAAGTTATTAGCAAAAATTGTTTTTAGTATTCACATGCAAACCCATTGTTGACATCCGAGCTGAGCATGGTGGGCCGAGAATTAAATGTGACTGATTAATGAAGAAGGAACCGAAGAAATTATCCAGGACGAACAATTAAGAAGTAAAAACGACCTGAGAAATAAATACAACCGATTACCGAAAAGAGAACTGAGCAGGATGCCCAGGTTGGATAATCCAGAGTCCAAGACCAAGTCCATAAGTGCTAAGATATGAAAAGATGAGGACCAACTATGAAGACCCGAGGTAGGCGCACTAAGTCGACATAAAATATTAAAATAATGGATACTTGTAGGCTAATGATGAAGGACGGGACAAGCCCACCAAGCGCCTGCCTACCTACATGCCATAGCTACATAAGCTTCCACGTCGCATTAAATGCATGTATTTTCCATTTAATGTTTGATGTATAACTTAATGAATAGTAGCGGAATTCTATTTACTATAAATAGTCTTAGAATCATTTGTAAAAGAGATTTTAAAATTCCCCCAACTCAAGACATTTATTCTCTCATATAATACAACATTTAATGCGAGCATCCGAGCTCAGTACGCCAAAATTCGACCTCGTATTCCATCAATATTTCAACATTTTTTCACATATTGTTCCATATTAAAGCAGGTTAAACGTCATATATTATCAACACTTATCCATTATTATCCGTTGATCAAATCCACTAGTCAACCCACACGAAATATTGTTAAACCTTATTTCTTAGGTTAGTCTTGTTAGTGTAATTTCTTAATCTATGTGGGGTATATATATTTTAAAATAAAAATTTTACAAATTTTTATATAAGATAAATTAAGATTCATTTGTTAATTTCAGATGAGTAGTTACAGTAAAATTTATATTATATTTTATATTGATAGAATATTCCTTGTTTCTATTATATATATATATATATATGAGATGAGTGTAGAATAAGTTATTAAAAAAAATTAGTATGATAACATATAAATAAGAAGTCTTTTTTTTTTTGTACAAATAAATAAGAAGTCTTTAAATACTAATAAAGTTATAATTATTTTATAAATAAACGGAAAGTACATTTCCTTTCTTTGTTTATATAAAACTATAGATCATTTATTGTTTAATAAAATTGTAAAATTAGTCACACAATTTGGAGATGTAATCCTCATTTTCAAGGTCGCAACTTCGATGTTTTTTTGCTTTGTCGATATGCTCTTGAGGATTTTCTCTCTCGGGTCGGTTTTTTATTTCGGACTTTGCAGCCGTTGGAACACTAACATGGATGGGGATTTGGAGTTCTGCATGGGCTCAGAATCTGCTTGGAGGTTGTGTTTTCAGCAGTCCTTTGGCAGCTTTGGGATTGTGAGGTTTCTTGGGACTGGACCGGGTCGTTGTCCTAGCGATGAGTCGGGATTAGGTATTTTTTAGCTGGCATTTTTTGCCGTTGGAATAAGGACGTAAAGTCGATGGCAGGAGTTGTGTGCTGGTTCCTTTCGGCCCCAGAATGTTTTCGGTCTTCTTCGCTTGCAGAAGACATCTTATTCGTGAATTTGTGGTGTAAGTACCGGCTAAGGTTGCTCCAAAACAGACGATGGATCCTCCTTCATGTACGAAATTCGTCTCAACGGTTTAGGGAAATTACCTAAGTAAAAATAATATTAATAGTGAAAGAGGTCGGATGACCATGATTGTATATAATAAACTGGTGCTTATTACAACTTAGGAGTTATTTTTAGAAAGAAAATTCTGGATTCTTCCTTTAGTACAATAAATGAGGGTTATTCATAGAGTAAAATCCATAGACACGATTCACGATGTCAGCACGTCGACATTTAATGTGATCTGACGGACGACATGCGACTCTGTCTAATGATCACTTTTCGACAGTACGATGGATATGAGTCTTATCCGCATTTAATGCGTTATCCGAGGTTGGTAGGGTTGTAAACGAGTCGAGTCGCGTCGAGTCAAGCCCGGCTCGTTAAATAAACGAGGCAAAAATCGAGCTCAAGCTCGGCTCGTTGAGGCCTCGAGCTTGAGCCTTAACGAGCCGATCTCGAGCTTTAACGAGTTGAATTATAAAAAAAATTATATAAAAATTCTCTTTTCGAGCCTTATCGAGCCGAGTCGAACTCAGCTCGTTAACTATATGAGCTCGAGCTCAGCTCGTTAAGGCCTTGAACTCGAGCCGAACTCGAGCGAGCCGAGTCAGACTCGTTTAGTTTAACAGCACTAGAGGTTGGTCTACGAGGAATCTTGATCAGTTCCTTCTCGGTTGAGTGAATGAGCTTTTTAGGAAATTCACTTCACTACCGAGCTGCTTACTTTTGGCTGTTTTGTCTTCGACGTCGGGTAATTATGTTATCTACGCCACGTGTCGACATATCTGGGGGTTGTCAGTTCGGATGTCAATAGAAGTGCTGTTGGAAATTGAAATGTTCCAATATATGTCGAGTTGTTGTTTGCAACTAGGCATGGCCACCGGCCTCGAACCGAGCCCGTGGTTTGACTGAGCCGATTTCGGGCCACATATTTGTAATTTTTTTAATAGCCAAGTTGGTTACGAACTAGAACTTGGGTTCGCCATTTTTTATGAAATTATTATTAATTAATTTTATTTTTTTTAAGTGAAATGGACTGACCGGACCGTATATATTTTTAGGCCGGTTCAGGGCCTTTAAAACTGTCGCCCGCAACCACCATTTGGCCATGTCAACTTGTGTTGGAAAATCAGTTATAAAAACTTAGGTTTGGCTCAATTTTGACTAATTTTTTTGTGGATAAATATTTAATTCGGATTGAATTAAATTGTGCAGAAAAAATTTTACATTACGAGTAGATACTTGTGGTATATTTTTTCTCTAAACTAATTTTCAATGAGCGAGAAATAAATTATTAAAGTTAATCATTAATGGACACGTAAAACATTGATTGTTGAATTTGAATGATCAAATATCATATCCCACATTGGTTCTTAAATGAGTTTAACTGTCCTTATTATAATAAGGAGAGTTGAAGAGGTCACAACAACAAATCTATGCACCAAATGTTGGTGATGACTTCAGCCACACACGCACGTGACGGTTCAACTTTTTCTTCTAAAAAAAAACGTTCGTCGGCTCGGCTCGGGCAAGGTTCTTAAAAATTGGACTGTGATAGGTCGAAAAATGGGCATGTTTCATATAATTAATAATGTATTTTTATACACTTAGTATATTCGTACATGTATATTTTTTGACTTATTTATTATTTGAATGGATTCATATACATTGATATTTTTATATTTATTTTCAGAATAGTAGAGTGTTTTCATGGACGATGCAATATTGGACGGAAGTGTACGAGATAAATTATCGACCTTTCTACTATATGTCAATTTAGCCCATAAGCACATATTTTGATATGAGCTTGTATAAGCAAATAATTGATGGACTTGAAGAGTGGGGCCTTAAAACCACTTGGAGTCTTGGGACATTCATGCAAGAATGGGCTTGATATTATTTAAAAGTAGCAGTCCAACTGGGATTAGGATTTGATTGCTTGACACTTGGAATTAATTGGGTTTCTTTGGACATATTTACTTAGAGGACACACAGCCCATTAACTGAGAATTAGAGGATTTATTTACACAAAGCCAGAAAAGAAAGACATCACGCACAGAATTGAAAGAATAGCGGCAGCAGCAACATCACGCAAAAAAGAAAAAAAGAAAAGCGAACAGAGAAAGCACTTGCAGACATACGGGAGAACTCGGCAATTGCGGAGGGAGACCGCTCCCGCACACGAGAAGGATAACTTTATTCTTCTCTTTTGCTTTTTATTTATTATGTTAGAGTAGTTTTTATTTCTAGTTCCGGGGAAGTCGAACCCTACGATTGACTATGTTTTGATTGACTTATATGGTTGATGAATTCAATATCTTTTTGGAATTGCTTGTGTTATTTTGAATAATTCACCATGATGTGTTGAGTCTTATTTAGATTGATCAGCTAGATTAGGCTTTTCATATCTACAGCTGAATTAGACATTCAATCCGTAATTGTTGTGGCTACCGGAAGACGGTAACTACCGG